GGTAGAGAAGTACCAATCTTAACACTTGCATCGTATTACTACCGCTGCCATATTTCTTGCCTTATTATTATCTGTTTATCTTATAAATATGCTCACGTATCTAAATTTGAAAGAGTTGTCACCTTTCCTGTATCCTAAACTAAAATAAAAAAGGTTACAACTATATTCCTCTTTGGTTTTTCCTCAATTTTTCCTGTTGGTTAGGAATGTATCGCAACCAAAAATTCGGGAAGATACAAAGGGCGATGATGATGTATTCCGATTGTCGCTTACTGATGGACACACCTCCCTTTCTGCAATTGTAATGGAAAATATCAAAGGAATCAAGTATGTTCTTTATTGTCCTACTTCCGAACAAGTTAAGTTAATATGTTGGGGTGTAGTTGAGCTGTACCGCTTTCTTTAGCACGGATACACCTCCAGGAACAAAGTTGTTAATAACGGGAAGAGTTCCAATAGAAGGCGGATTTGCTATTCTTACTCATTCCAATATAAGTGTTATTGGAGGACGTGTTGAAAAGTTAGTGGAGAAGTGGACTATTGAGCGGGTCAGTGAAATGTAGCTCTGCTGTTTTTGAACCGAATGGTAATGGGATGTTATTTAGCGTTCCCTGCTTGATGGTGAACGGACGAACAGGTCTGATGGTAAAGCACCAAAATGGGTATCATTTGGCAAGGTACGAGATGCTTTGCGAGGTTCTGTATGTCATGTTGTTTATAAACTATTCTGTTCTAGAGAATATCGAAAACAACAGAAACTTCAGCAAACAATTTCAAAGCAAATGATGTCATAAAAACAACTAACAAGAAAGTGAGCTATTCTGAAAACTTTTTTTGGGTCTCGTAATTTTTTTTTTCTTGTGACCATTTGATTTAAAATTGTCTTATACGTTAAATTGATTAGTATACTTCAAGGGCATACTAATCCTTTCAGGAATCTGAGGAGCAAAGTAGCTTTGACCTTCAGCGCAAGGAGAACATTGAGGCCATCGAGGAGGGCACTGTGAAGGCCTTCACTGCTCCTAAGGTAAAAAAA